GGGGGGGGGGTGTCTGGTGTTTGGGAGGTCAGATTTGGCTTTGTGTGACAGGGGCTTAAAGGACAGCCTCTCCTGCTAAAGTACGGTCTAAATTCATATTAAATGGATTAAAGTCCTAGTGTCATATGCGCACAAGATTTACATAACATTCACATAAAAAGGAAAAATTATCTCTCATGTTTTTCCTCCAGGAGCAGCCGCTGGCAGAGTCAATTCACCCGACTGGGCGAGAAGTCAAATGACGTGAAGACGGCCTGTATTGACTACATCAGGAAGGACAACTCCGTTCGTGGGATAACCGGAACTACGGCCAGGCTCAGTCTTGAGTAGAACATCTAGACAACGGTAACGTAACCATTCGTGGATGATCTGTGACACAAAGCAACGTAATCAATGTGAACTATGTTTTTACAGCCTGAAACGTTTGAATAATAGTAGTAGAAAGCCATTGTTGAGTCACACGAACGAAAGAGTTGTTGTAGTCACAGTTGTTTGAATGAAATATTGTAACAGAAGGAGTTATGAGTGGGCTATTATTGTTTGGTGGTGGGTAGGTGTTTAATTTTGTGACATAACTATATCTTGATTACTTTGCATTAAATTGTTGACAGCAATGGGTCCAGCTATGCTTGAGGTGCACGTCCAACAAAGTTTAAAAGTTTATGTCGCTTAAAGAATGATTTAAGTAAATATTGAAAAGACCCAGACACAGCAATGTTATAGAGTGTCCTACCATTGCAAAATAGAGTAATCATTCTGGCAGTTTATAATCATGTCTATTCTTCTGCAAAAATTAACACAAGATATTGATAAGGACACGTAGGTTTGCTGTGGTTTTTATCAAGTCATGAGATGACATAGAATAGGATCTAGATATTCTTTATGATGCATGGTAAAAATCTATTTTGATCTGTGTTTGGTGTCTTCTTTTCCAATGTAATATGTTATTCAGAAGTATTTTGTTAACTTTGTGTTTGACAAACCTACTACAAACCTACTAGAATTGAAGATGCTTTGGTTTGTCTGTGCTACATTGTGAACGGTAGTTGCTTACCACTACCTAGCGTAAAATCAGCTTGATTGTGTGTTTAACAAGGTTTATAGCAAAATCAAATTTATTCAAGAACACTCTTAATGGCATCTCCTTCAACTTCAATTCAAACTACAGGGCCTAACCTAGTGTAAGAAACAGTTTTGAATAATTGCAATAATTGTGAATTTTCAGCGTAAGCTCTTTGTGTACTTGAAGCTTTCTTATCGTTGCTTTTTAAAAAGATTCCTTGCATATGTGTTGTTGAAAGACATGTTGGCCAGTCAACAGTGACATATGTACAATGTATGTTTTTTTTTCACAAACGATCCATTGATCACCCGCATACATGTATAGTCAGGGGGCGATGCATGCTAGAACTTGGGTGAATAATGTACCAGAGAATGTAGACAGCTTTGGGAGGGCCATCTATCTTGCTTGAGTGAAGAGCAAATAAAGGTTTAAACGCATCACCATGTCTGTGTGCTCTGTGAGTTTTTGTTGATACGCATAATTATATAACATTAAGTTATAAAAAGAAGCAGGAAATAGGGATTCAATCGCAAATTAAAGATACGCGTGATAAAACGTACTACTTTGCCTGTTTGACATTTGAAGTAACAAATTACTTTTTACCGTCGGAATGCTATGATATACTGTTATCCGATGGGACATACATGTGACCAATGTTGAGTTCCAATCTTTGAATGAGAGAAACAATATTGGTTATTCAAGACGTCATTGGGTCAAAGTAGTACCTACCTGTGCAGGTGTCAGCGGTGTGAAATTTTGTCAGAATAACGTTTGTTTAGTGAACGTGCGGGTCAACAGGCCTGCACAGGGCACCCCTGGTTTGCCATAAGATGATGTCAAGTATGGGCTTGTGACGCCCACTTTGAAATGGCGCCCTGCGGAGGTGACATGAACTGCAGCCCGCTCACCGCAAAAGTGTAAAAATGATATGGCGGATTTATACCCGAACTGTAAAATCGTCACAAAACCCGACATATTCCAATACCACACAACACAATTTACACAGGGCTGACGCTAACATGAGACTTTCTACCCAGTCTTCAAGAAGATTACGCTCCGTACAATTTTGTATACCCACGTAATAGACCCGGGGGTCGCCTATCATACTGTATTCTGCGACCTTGATTGAACTATCGTGCCGGAAATGAGATTATCTGGGCGCCATTTTGGATAGGTCAGAGGTCACGTTATTATTAGAAGTTGTGATTCAGTTTCCCTGAAGAACACAAGTTTCGATTTTTAGTAAAAAAAAAATCTGGGTTTCCAGAAATGAATTAAGGTACAGGTGTGGTTCTCTCTTTTGTGTGTTATTTTTCATTACTTGGCACGTAGTTGTTGTTGTAAATTGTTAGGCAACTTGAAACCACTTTGGTTGATGCATCAAAATCAAGCGTTACCACACCATAGTGAACCAACTTGAGGTTGTCAGCAATCTACAAAACCTTTTGACAATTATCACTCATGATAACGCGAATATTGATTGCAGTGCAACGTACTGCACCTGCACGAAACCCGTAATGTATTGTGCATAGCGCTTCGGCAGAACGTGTCATATATAAGGTCTCCGTCTGTAGGTTCCAAATGTTATGTTGGAAAAGATATCAACTGCAACAGGCAAAATTCTGATGCAACGTTGACCAAAAGTCTAACGAAAACCGTGAAAAATCCAGGTTTCACACAGGTGCGGTACGTTAGAACTGCTGACGTGCTTTCACAGCCGATGTTTACGGATACGCATCCGGGATAAAGGAAGGTACCTGCGCAGGCCACGTCAGCTCTATAGCCAGCAAATTTCACTCGGCACCTTCATTTCTACCCCACCGGGCCTTTCGTCTTCTGCGGAACAGACGCCAGCAAGAGTCAGTTGTTCTCGAGTCCGGTCAGATCAAGGTAAGCCAACCGGTATCGTCCATTCCATACTTTCTTTAATCATAGCCTGATAATAACAGTAACAGTGGCCGCACTACATGCTACGTCCCGTCTCACATAGATTTATTTTCACTTGCTGCAAACAACATGCGAATTTTCCCATTGCCCTACACGGCCTTTCGTTCGCCCTGCCACACTTCTAGGATGAGATCTATCCTTGTTTATGTTAAGCCTTTGTTCTCTGCAACTGCTCTGAACTTTGTTCTCTATCTTACCTTGTCAACTCAGAAGAGTACCGAGGTTGGCTACGCGCCCTCAGAGGTGACGTCAGCGGTAGGGTAATGAGACAAAGAAACAAACTAGACCGATTGCTAGTACACACAGAGCGATACAGAAACAGTCCAACCCCATTCTTAACCAGTCTGCTTAACAATAGTGTGTAGAAGAATCTTTTATTCAATCATGTATTGGAATGATGTAAGTGACTATGATTGTAATACTGATTTTATATTGTCCCGAGGTTTTATTACCATAGACCTAACTAATTTAATATGTCGATTGTGATTTTAGACAATAATACTGTGCTAGTTTTATTTCTCTATGTATCTGCACGAACACACAATTTAGCCCTGCGGGCTGCCAGCCGTTTATTTAAAATAAACCAATAATAAATTGAGCCTCAAAGTCTTTAAACACAGCTTGAAACAGGAACACAAAATGTCCATAATTAAATCACTTGAAGATGGCACAATATTTGTGCATTGCTTGTGAGTTGTGACTTGCTTCGGTGTATCAAGAAGGTCTTATCTAGGTTGGTCAGAGGTTTCGTAATTATCTCTTCACTTGAATTCGTAGTTGCTCGAGGGTGCGGTGGCTTGGCACAGCACCTGTGCCACGTGCGTTAACAGTTCCCTATCTCTCAGTCGCAGTTTTCCCAAAAATGAAAGTTTATCCTATTAGCGTAGCCTACCTCTCGAGGTACTATCCGCATATCTAGAATAATCGTCATAATCAGAAATTCACAATGACAATGCGGATGGAGAGGTAATTGTAAATAAATAGGAAAATGACAGACTGAGGCCGTGTTTAAGTGGAATCACCCAAACCGCGATTCGGGTAACTCACATCTGGTCCACGTGCCACACACTCCTGTGAAACCGTGTCCGTTCACAATTCGCTTGAGCTACATTTATTGCTGTTTGATGATAACACGCAAGGTGGCGTGTTATTAATCTCAGAGGTCAACGACCTGCTTGCTGATGCCCCCCTCTCAACGTATCTCGGCCGAATGCCGACGTGATCCCTCCAGAGGCGGTGAAGTTCTCCCTAGAACGGACACATTATTTGACCATTACTGCTCTTTAAGTTGCTGCCACGTAAAAGTTGGTATTGCATATAAAAAAAGAAATATCACCACGTAATCCATGACCAGGCGAAGTTACATTGAAATCACATTGCGTTCAGACGCAAATCGCAATGCGGGAAAACCGATTCGGAACCACCTCTAGAAGTGGCTTGGGATCGAGGCGCTTTCAATGTGATTTCGGAGCGTTCACATGGAGCCACTTGAAACCGGCTTCGGGGTAAACCACATGTAAACCGCCTTGGGTGATTCCACTGAAACACGGCCTGAGTGAATAATCATTATTTTTTATCCGCATTATTTTATGTACATGTAGCCCGGATATGCAGCATCCGTAATCATTGTTGTTTATTGCTCAGTCTGTTACAACATTAATGTAAAACAATGTTGCGGACGGTTCGTCCAGGCCAGAGTTTATTTTGTGACCTTTTCACAAACATACCATCGCAGCAGCCTTACATGGCTGAATTGGGGCATGGGAGTAGTGTATGATGGACAATTTGTGTGTATTTGTGCGTAACATGTGGATGTGGAGCAGTGGGTGTGACTTGTATGAAAGGTCATTCAGGAGTCATTTGGCACGCGTCACAGGAGGTCGTGTATCATTATTTATTAAATAATAGGTAGTTGCGCAAGAAAACCCGAACGGAAAACACATGTTATCATCTGCTCCACCTCAGAGCTCCCAACGTGTTTTCTAAAAACGGACGACGGGAAAACAAAACCATATACTGTAAGGGTACTAGGTGGCCAATATAAATACTGCGAAATGAGCAGGAGGCTCTCAAATATTACATAAGGTCGCCACTTAACGTGCAACGTCATTCTTATAAAGATTACCAACCATACCGCACGCGTGTGACGTCTGTGGTAGACGGTTTAGTCGAAAAGCAAACTTTGCACGTCATCGCGACACGATACACGGAGACGTGGAAGAAGTTTCTTCAGGAGAAACTCGAGAGCATGGACACCGAGCCAGGAACCTATCGATCAGCTGACATATTTGACGACACCGACGACCCCGGTTGGGCGTCGGAGGCAACGACAGAACATGAAATCGATCGTCAGATGTCATAAGAGATTTGCTTAAACGGAGACAGAATTTCAACCCCGTTGGATGACGAGCCTTCAGCAGAGGATTGGCACCCCAGAGGCAGCTACCCAACACCCAACCCGACTTGCTGTGATTCAGAACCACAAGAAGCGTGCTGCTCTCGGTGACACTCTGTCAAGCGGAGAAGAAGACGACATCGTGTGGACCCCTCGACCTCCACAACGTCTCCGCGTGACCTCTTCACAAACCACCCCCAGTGCGCCACATTGAGGGTGGCGCGCCGCAAATACGCTACAAACTGTCCATCATATACCACTATCATCCCATCTTATTTCAGCAGGACGATGGCTGACGGGAACGACATCGACGGAGTTTTAGACCTTACTGGTAGGGCCCAGGGCAGTTTGAGCCAAAACATCGAAAAGCTGAAGAAGCTGATGATGCACAGTGATGAATTCAAGAAAGTCGCTAAATACTTTGATAAGGTGCCAGAATGGTCTTCAGAAGAAGGCAGAAACTTCTTCGAGATGATGAAGCACATCAAACTTGCCTGTGACAGGTAGGGTGCCTGACGTAATGCTTCCTGAAATATACATTTATCACTAAAATCAACCCTACTAACAGACCTTAGAGAAGACCTCTTCTAATTTCGCTGATAAGTAAAAACGTTTGCATGTGCATATGCTATCTGTGCGACGAATCTGTATATAATTCCACACACACACACACACACTCGCAGAGAATCACACACATACATGTACACACACACGCGCGCACACACACACACAGACACATACACACATACATATCATACACACACACACACACACACACGCACGCACACACACACGTCCTCGCGCACACACGCACACACACACGCACGCGCGCGCGCGCACACACACAGACACATACACACATACATATCACACACTCACACACACACACACACACACACACACACACACACAAAACTCTTACACAAGCACATAAATATGCGAACACACGCATGTAAACACACACGTGCACATTCCCACAAACACATATATATATA